CTCTCTTTCAGAATCCCTCCATCTCACACTCTAGAAAGGAGTGTATACTAGAGCCTTTCACTCTAGAAAGTCTGGTGATAAGACTGTTGACTGTAAAGCTTTGTCCAACCTAGGCTCAGCCCACCCAGCCTGAAACAGCAAGGCCTGGGGGCTTTGGTGGGACCCACATTGGACTCTTGTACATGATGACATCAAAGGTACCTAGAAAGTATATGCCAAATACTTGTATCATGCAAATGCTTGAAGGAGCTGGGATTGCATCAGTATTGGGAATCCTAGTTTGGGAATTTTTACCCCCAAGCAAATCACAACTAAATCTTTGACTTAGTATCCATGTCCTAGGAAGTTGTCTGAAACACATGGAGATTAAGTGACTTGCCCAGGATCACACAGCTAGTAAATGTCAGAGGTTAGGAACCTTGGTCCTACTGACTAAAAAAACCAAGTACTCCATTGATTATCCCAGGCTAATATGCATATTACAATACGCTATTTTTGAGTCCAACAAAACAAAGCATTTTTGTACTATCTCTGCAGCATTCTCTTATAAGACTTTCTTTCCTCTCCTCTCAGGATACCCAAAGGGGGTCTACATGTCCTTCTAAAACCCTGGACCTTTCTTCACTTTTGAAGGCAGAACCTCTGGTTTGTTTCACACAGTAGATGTGCTGCTGGAAAAGCCGTATGTGAGGCATTTCCATAAACTGTCATATTTCAAATAAACATGGAGATGGTTACCTTAAGCAATCCCATAGGGTGCCCTTTTGTTAAGTGAATAATCAATCACCCACTAAAATATTTTCTGTAAATTCATTTTCATATGTTGGGGTTGCTTAAAATCAGATACACTTTCTCTCTTCAGAGCAGACACTCCTAATTAGTGAACTCAGATCATTTGAGGGGCTAATAAAAAATTCTTGAGAATTATGCACATAGAACTTTTTAGGGGTGAAGTGGTATAAGATTTTTTTTTTTGAGAGGCAGGGGGTATACCATAGAAAGAGATTCCTAGAACTGAGGATAATGAAAAGTCATCTCATCCATCCCTTTGCCTCCACAGTGGCCTACAGTTAATTGCTTCCCACAAAACACTCTCCTCCACACTCCCAGAAGATGCCATCTCTTACAATAACTGTAGAAATAGACTGCATTGTTTCTCTGCCAGTTGCCAAGGTTCTCACTTGTCCCACATCCCATCAGTGGCCAAACCTGGTCCTTTCCATCTCTACCCACAGAGGCACCATCCCAGCTCAGGTCCTAGGGGCAGCTAGATGATAAGTGGATAAGAGCACTAGGCCTTGAGTCAGGAAGCCCCAAGTTCAAATTTGGGTTCAGACACTAGCTGTGTGACCCTGGGCAAGTCATTTAACCTCTGTCTGCTTCAGTTTCCTCACTGGTAAAATGGGGATCATAATGGCACCTACCTCCCAGGGTTGTTGTAATGATCATGTGAAATAACATTTGTAAGGTACTTAGCACAGTGCCTGGCACACAGTAGGTGATTAATAAATGCTTGTTCCCTTCTTCCTCCTTCCCACCTTCCCCTTGAACTCTTGCAGTAGCCTCCTCATTGGTCTCCTTGCATCAAGTTTCCTCCCCTCTCTGATCCATCCTCCATCCAGCTGATAAAGTGATTTTCCTATGGGCACATATCTGACTGTATCGACCTCTCCTCATCGGCTTTATTAACTCTAGTGAATCCCTATTACTACCAAGATGCCATAGAGAATGCTATGCTAGGCATTTTGAGCCTTTCCCAACCTGGCCCTTTCCCAACCTTTTCAGTCTTGGGATATTTTCCTCCCTCTCCTTCCACAGTATAATACAGAAATACCTGGTTTGCTGCTGTCTCTTGTACCCTACGCTACACGTCTTTTCATTGACTCTCTCCTGTGTCTGGAATGGTCTCCATCTTCACGTCCACCTTTTACAAGCTCTGGCTTCTTTCAAGACTCAGCTCGAGAGCCATCTTCTATAGGAGGCCCTTCCCAGTTCTCTTGGCAGCTAGCACTTTCTCCTTTAAGGCTACCATCTAACCACTCTGCATGCAATTTGGCTATGTCTGTTTATGCACATGTTCTTTCTCTCCCAAAAGGATGTAAGCTCCCTGAGGGAAGAGATGATTTTTGCTTTTTCTTTGTATCCCAGGGCTTAGCGCAGTGCCTGGCTCACAGTAAGAGCACTGACACAGAGTGTCCCAAAAGTCTTAGTGCTTAGAACTGAGTTGTGGTTTGGGACACTAAGTGTGGATTTCAGCACCAAGACTTTTGGGACACACTCGCTGGTGCTTTAAGGCTTGCAAAACCTTAAATGATCTCATTTGATATTCATAACAATTCTGTTTTTTAGGTACTATTATCATCATCATCCCCATTTTAGAGATAAGGGAATAGGTCGAGAGAGGTTTCGTCAATGTACCCAGGCTCAAATAGCTATGAAGTGTCAGATGCAGGTTTCAAACCCAGGTCTTCCTCAAGGCTCCAAGCCCAAGGCTCAATCCACTCAACCACCCAGCTGCCAATGTACTTACACAGTAGGTGCTTAATAATTGCACGTTGATTCTCT